AAATTTAAATTTTAAAAATTGTACACTGTGCAGCAGTAAAAAAAATGACAAAAAAAAAATACAAAAATATTATAGGCACACTTACTATGCGACTTTTTTTTTGCTGCTAACAAACTTTGCTGAAGAAATGCATCACTAACAGTTTCTTCATTAAATGTTTGGAAGTAAGAAAGTTCAAGGTCTTTAATGTTTTCTATTCCTTTTCTCACACCATTCATTATATCCATCCAAACTCCAGAAGCGGGTGTAATAATAGAAATTTTTTTCCAATTAAAATGCAACATTAATTTAACAATGACTCTTCCTGAGTTTCCATAGTCACCAACTGTTCTTGCAAAATTTGGGTAAAGTTTTTTCTGTGAAAGATAAGAGGCCGCACAACCGTATGATACCATGGGAATATTCCAGTGTTCAGCTAAAATTGCAGCAAGTTTACACCCATCACTGCAAGCCGGGCCAATTATTGCATTTACCTTTTCTAAAATATACATATCAACAACTGCTTTTAAGGCACCTTTTTCGTTACACTTACTGTTATTCCAAACAAACGTTACGTTATACCCATTTAGTAATGATGGATCTTTGTTTATGTCTTTGACAGCAACTGTTATACCAGATGCAAACCTTGGAGCAACATTCCATTCGCCACCTGACCAAGGAAGAGCTACTCCTAATTTAATAGTTTTTAAAGTACCAGAGAAGCAAACAAATTCTGATACAATAAAAAAAATCCAAAAGCTGTTTATGTTCCGATTTTTATAAACTAAATAAATAAACTGTGGCATTGTAAAAACTCAAAAAACGAAACCTCTATTGCTTAAGTTAACTGAGCTTGTAATATTAATCACAGCGCACTTGCGATAAAACTTTTGATATAAAACAAGATTATTCGAATTTTTAAATAATATATCTATTTCATTGATGTCTAAATTTTTACAAAACGTTTTTAGGAAAGAATTTTTTTTTAACACTGTTAACAACGCTAAGCATGTTTTAGAGAAAGTTTTGGTTTTTTTTTTTCAAAATTATTAGCACTCTGTTGTTTGCAAAGATAAGCAGCTTATTGAGAAAGGTACTTTTTTGCTTACATTTTTCATTACCATGAATATGTCACAGCTAAAAATAAAAAAAATATGTTTTTTACTAAATATATGTTTGTTTTTATAACCCAAGAAGTTGATAAACAATTATTGATATGATTTTTGATTATCTGGTTTGTTCTTAATATGGAACATAATATACTTTTGGAGTTTTAATTGGTATATATTAAAACACGCATTTGGAGGTATACAAGACTTTTCGCTTTTGTATTATATAACTTTTTAAAGATTATTAATTAGCAAAAATGCGACCACGTATCATTATAATCCTATTCAATTAATTTCATCTTATTTATAATCCGAGTTTATTTATTTCAACTATTCTTAAAGCAATTAGTTTGTCAATAGAGGTTATTTATAACTTTTATACAAACAAACAAAAAATTCGATGACTACGTTTTGAATGTTTGAATGCTTTGTTGATTTTTTTAGATCCCGATAAAAAGTCAATATTTTATTAAAGTTGTGACAAACACGTCATATTAGAGCTTTAAAATTAAAGATAACAACATAATGTTAGTTTTTTATATTTATTATTAGTTTATAATAAACTTTTATATTCTTACGTTTATTAGTAGTTTTGTTTAGTTGTTTTATAACTCTTAGTTCGTTTTTGTTTTTATTACCATAAAACTGCTTTGTATTTTATTTAGTAATAAAATATTCTAACAGCTATAAATAAACTCGGGAAAGCTGGTAAATACCTCAAATATTTCTCAACCATAATTTTATTTTGATTAACTATAGAATACACCCAGCAAACATTTATGTAGTGGATTTGCAGTGGACTTATATATGCATTTTGAGCGGTTCATTGATGTTTTGCTCATCGGTTACTTAGTGGACTATTAGTAACATCAGCCGATAATTTCCCAACACGTGATATAATCGCACATGTGATCCAAAAGGGGCTAGTCATCGGCTAGCCACGTTTGGATCTACTGAAGTTTTGGCATAGAATGTTTTCTGGGTTAGTATTTATGATATTTATGTTTATAGGCAAACTTTTAACGCATATCATAAATACTAAATACAGTCCTATTTTATTAGCAGAGCGTCATTTTTAATGTAGACATTAAGTTAATGTTCACATTAAAAAATGACGCTCTGCTAGTAAAATAAGACTCTCTAATGATTTTTCAGTTTTTTATTATTCAGTTTTTTATTTCCGCATCAGAGGAAATTTCTACTCAGAAAAGTTGTATATCTTTGGTATACAAGGGAAATGTACACGAAAGTCCAAAACATCATTTTTAGATAATGAACAAATAAGTTTTTGCGTAATAGTTAAAATAACAAGTTTTGTGTAATAAAAAGTTTTAATAACATAATAATAATTGGTTTATTAAATTTGTGTGGTATATCAAACAATAGAGAATTTAAAATACTACACAGTACTAAAAATCCATTCTGCCAAAAATGGACTTAGTGCATTTCCCATGTATACCGATAATATTATGTACAAAGAATGTCATACAAACTTTCTTATATAAAACACTGTTTACACATGCTCAAAGTACTTTTCTGCGCGAAATTTTCCTCTAAACCAGAAAAAAAAAATCAAAATGGATCTATTTTTTAAATATAAACAGTTTTTATTTTATTAAAATGACCCACATTTGAAATACTAGACTTAGGGTTTCCAATTATCCAACATTAATGACTATCCGGATATCAAATACAGAAAATTCAAATTATTCGGATATCCGAATAACAAAAAAGAAAATAAAGATGATTGAACTTAATACTCTCATGGTGTTTTTAACGCAATTATTAAATTATAAATGTTAAATATATTAAAAATTCAAAAATAAAACAAAAATAAAACAATTATACTATTTGAATTTATTTCTTTTTTAAAAATGCATATTTCAAAAAAGTAATTGCATTAAAAGTTTCAATATTTAAGGGAGTTCTAATTTTTGCCCGAATTAAGACTGCATTTGAAAAAACGCGCTCTGTTGCAGTTAGATGTTAGATGTTGGTCTTATTGCTTTATGTGCGTTAAACAATATATTTAAGTTATTTGTTTTTGTTCTAGCGGTTGTTACATAAATTTTTTCAGCAAAATGGTAATTATGTTGCTCTGCTTTTCTGAATGGGTAATTGAGGAAATCGCTGCTTTTAGCTATTGCCGCTAAATATTAGCATTTTGACTTTTAAGTATACTTTCACTTGTAATTTTTTTTACAACAAAAAGAGTTAAGAGTCAAAAGAGTTGCAAAATTTTTACTCAACTCCTTTTATTGCAATTTCCATTGGTAATAAGATGTTTAATAGTTCTTCTAAAGTTGATATATTCTCCTCTGAAACCTTTTGTTGCCAAAATTCATTGAAAGTTTTATAGGATCTTTATTTGAAGGAATCGTTTGAGCATAGTTATCAATAAATTCCACCGAGTTTTGACATTTAACATCAACTGCAATATTATGTCTGCTTGTTCATTAACATATCTTTATAAAATGCTGCTTTTGACTAAAGGGAATTTTATCATTTTTATAATTCTTCTGAGATTTTTTATAACTTCTTGAATATCTTCAAAGCGATCTACGATTTTAATGTCTTTCTCTAGCTCCCAGGCTATATTTACATCTTCAGAACTATTTGTATTCAACTCATTATCAATGCTTTTGACAGATTCACCTTCACTATCTTTACTAGAATCTACATAATCTGTTACTTCTTAATTTTCTACATAAAATTTTGTTTGTTGTTTTTTATACAGTACATCAGTTATTGCCAAATGCAAACCGTGGTTATAACACAGTTGAGATATGATACCTAATTGCCTTCCATACTTGATCATAATGGCGGCTTCATCATGTATTGATGATATTATAGCTAACTTAATGTCAATTTCAAATTCTTTAAACTTATTTGCAAACATAGTTTTGTTTGTTCAGCATTACATGTATTTTTTATGTGAACTAACCCCAATACATAGGGGAGATGGGGGCGCATTAATCTCCGGAGCAGTATGATCTTTTAGCTTTTACTCGTTTACTTTTGCCTTAATTTAACAGAGATTGCAATTTAATTAACTATTATACTACCCTTCATTGCTTAATCGTAATAATTTTTGATAAGATCAGCTTCAGCGTTAAGAAAATTGAAAAGACTGTTTTTCATCATGAAAATTGATTTTTGAAAGTTGTAAACAAATTCAAATAAATTTTTAATTCGATTTCCGTATGGCTTTACAACCAATTTATTGTAAACTCATATGTGTTAAATTTATAATAAATTTGTTTTTTTTTTGAGTTGGTTACTGTATTTATAGAAGTTATTGGCATCAATATATCAACTGTACCTAATGGGGTACATTGATCGTTGACTATGCGGGGCTCATTGATCGGCGGATCAAAGTGCCCCATATAACTTATATTATAAGACTTAAACTTTTTGTTTAAATTTTATACATTTAAACTTATGACAAAAAAAAATCTTTATATAAACTTTTAAAATTTCATTTTTAAAATGTAATAGTTAAAAATGTAATAATTAAAAACTAATATTAATAACATTAGTTTTTAGTTTTACATAAGTTTTACAATTAGTTTACATAATATTATTATATAAAATATTTTTTTTAAACAATCATTTTATTTGACTTTTTTTTAAATTTTCAGATCTTTAAATGGTTAGGTATAGAAAAAAAAAACAGACAGAGTTGCTATATCATGTGATACAATGAAATCAGCTTTTAAAGAAGTTTTAGCGGGCAGACCAGTGAATGTTGTAGCTCGCAAGTTTAGCATAAATCGAATGGCCTTAAAAAGATATTGAAATAAAAAAAAGCTCAACCCAAATGAGACTTTTAAGTCTAATTACAACAATAAACAAGTTTTTACTGCAGAAGATGAAAAAAGTTTGTCAAGTTATTTACTACTTGCATCAAAAATGAATTATGGACTTTCAACACGATTATTGGCATACGAGTCAACACGATTATTGGCATACGAGTTTGCTGTAAAAAAAAAAAAGATTTGCCCTTCATCATGGATCAAAAATAAAATTGCAGGGATTGAATGGTTGCAAGGTTTTATGAAAAGACAACCAGAGTTGTCTTTACGAACACCTAAAGCAACTAGCTTTGCTCGATCAACTGCCTTTAACCGACACACAGTTGGAGAATTTTTCCAAAATCTAAAAACAGTAAGAAATCGATATAAGTTTGATCCTTATTGCATATATAATGTTGATGAAACTGGTTTAACAACAGTACAAAAGCCAGTAAAAGTGTTAACAGGTAAAGGAAGTAAACAAGTAGGAAGAATCACATCTGCAGAACGAGGAACATTAGTAACTGTATGTTGTGCTTCAAATGCAATTGGAAATTCTGTTTCTCCACCATTTGTTTTTCCTAGGGTCAAATTTCATGATTACATGATAAAGGAAGGTCCTCCTGGATGCGTGGGATTTGCAAATCCTTTTGGTTGGATGAATTCAGACATTTTTATAGAATGGATAAAACATTTTGCGAGGTATTCAAACTGTTCTCATGAATCTCCAGTTTTGTTACTTCTGGACAGCCATAAAAATCATATTTCTGTTAGATCTTTGGATCTTGCAATTCAACATGGAATTACAATGCTTAGTTTTCCTCTCCATTGTACCCATAAATTGCAACCATTAGATAGAACTGTTTTTGGACCATTGAAAAGGTTTTACAATGCTGCGTGTGATAATTAAAGATAAAAAAAGATAATAAAAAAAGATAAAAAAAATAAAGATAAAAAAAGGGGAAAAGTTAAAAACTACTTTCTTAAGAACAAAAAACAATGTAATGTAAAAGCAGCATCACGATTTGACTTTGACAAAGGATGATAATATAAAAAAATAATCTTGTAAACTTTAATTCTAATAAAAGTCTTGTATAAAGCTTGTATTTTCTTTGTAAACTTAAAATACTGTATTCTTATAGACTTTATAAGCTTCAAGTTTTGTAAAACTAAACACATATATATGTTAGTAGTATATAACGGGCTTATTTTCATAGATAGAATTGTGGTTATTCTTCTAATGTAAACTTTATACACTGGTGTGTATTAGGTTGTGGTGATATGTATATATATATGTATATATATATATATATATATATATATATATATATATATATATATATATATATATATATATATATATATATATATGTTTTAAATTTTACTTTTTTTTTTAGATGTATTATATAATATACACTAATACCCTTCAACTAATGCATTTGTAGCACTTAGGTATAGCAGTATTAAACATGTAAATAATGTTACTCATATAAGATCAAAGCGCTCCATATCGGAGATCATAGTACCCCAATGCATGGGGTACATTGATCTTTTGCAAGGGTTGTTGTAATGTTGAAATATACCATGTTCATTATTATTTTTTATTAAAACATTTATTTTTACTTAAAGACAGATTGTTCTAGTTTAGTTTAGTAATTAATAAGTTTTTATATCTAGATCGGGTTGTTTGCAGTTTTCAAAATACTGCAACGGAGATCAATGCGCCCCCATCTCCCCTACACTTCAAATTTTTTCATTAAATTATCAAAGGGTATGAAGTGTAACATTAAGATATCTATTCATAGAATTATCAGTCCACTTGTCTTGTGAGAATCTAACGTTTTTTTACTTTATATCCTTGATAATGTTAACTGTTTATTTATTTTTTTATTTCATAAAAGTCCTGTTACTGTAACAAAGTTGCAGTAGTAGGACTTTTAGGCATGTCAAAGCCTTTTTTTCTAATGTACCCATTAATGGCTTATAATTTCACTATAGAATTGATTGAAAACATTTACTTCAAAACCATCATCTACTACACATAAAATTTCCTCCAATGTTTTAGTTTTTTATTTTTTTAATTTTTTTGTATAAATAGTATAAAATTTTTTTATACTATCGTCAGCAAAAGTACTTTTAGCTTTTTCGACGTCGAAGATACTTATTAACTTATCTCTAATGAACTTTTAGTAGCAGCAGATAGGCTAAAGGAATTTGTGAACCAAATAAAAAAGTTATGAAAATTTTATGGATTTTTAAATGGTTAAGAAGCGCAAGGTCGACGACACCGGGGGAAGGGGCACTTACTCCCTCCCCCACATTTTTTTCTAAAGGACTTTTTTCTTTTTTTTTTAATTTTTTTTAAATATAAAATTCTATATATAGAAGACTTTTTTTAAAAATTGACGGTTGTGCCCCTCTTCTTCGAAACCCGTGTCGTCGGCCATGAAGTTGTGTTGTAGATGATCCTTTACATCCTACTTAATTACTTCAATGCTTAAAGAAAGCAATATCCTTTTTCTTTTCATTTCTCTTAAAATGGTTTCAAACTTCAGATCGTTTTGACATTACTGTAAATTTATATTAAAATAGAATATAAAATATCAATCTAGAATTTTGTGTAATAAGTTGCTTATTAAATTAAATACTTATATGAATATGCTCAATACTTGTTGTATGACCAAAAGCTGAAAAATATAAAAAAATAGTCTGCTGCGAAATTAAAAACCTTAATAAATGTTTCTATATTTTGGCTATCCCTAACTTTCAGTTTATTATGTCACTTTGAATATATTTGAAGCAAGCATTACTAATATCAAAATAATAATAAAGTATTAAATTGCATCATTTTTAAAAACTAAATGAAAAGTAATATGATAAAAAGAAAATGCGTTATAATGTTTTATTTTTAAAAACAAAAACCATGGTAAGTAATTAAATAAAAAACTGAGAATTTAAAAATTCATATAAACTCTATTTCAGTTAAGCTGTGCCGGGCAAATTTAACCCAAACTACTGAGATACCAATATATGATGTCATTTCATAGTTACACTGGTTAAAGTAGTTCATTTAGAATTAAAGATTAAAATTAAAAAGAAAGTTAAAAATTAATTAGTATATATAAGTGTAAGAGTATGAGAGAAAAAGAGTAAAAGAGTTCAAACGAAAATTATATAAAAAAGATTTATGGGGTTGCTGAAAAACCGCCTCCTCTTACTTGATGGTCTAGATCCGACCCTAACTCATACTACCAAGGAAGTCTAACAAACCTCTTTGGAGGTTTATTAAACCTCCTTGTATACAACCTACAACTTTTCCAGTTGTCAGCCGTTTCCTTGCTCTTTAACTTTATTCTTTGTTTTCTAATAACTCCCAAATTAGTAGTGTTTGCTTGCAGCCTTGTTAGAAGTAAATCTGAATAAAATAAAAAAACAAACAATTTATACAGACAAATTGCATATTATTTACACCTCTACCTGCCAATTTATTCATTATTTAATAAACAGTGGGCTGTGAAATTATATCAACTTTATTTTCTCTTTTATTGTAGAATGCAGATACATTAGCAATTAGAAGGGGAAATATTTTCTTTAAATTGAAGTTTATAACTGTTGTAATTTTAAAGGGTAGGGCGGGGCTATTTAGGCAATTTTTATTAAATCTAACTGATCTCTTGAGCGGTATATCGGATTAATATAATTTTTTCACAATTAGAGAGATAATTTGATCTGCTAAAAAATGGTTGAGGCAAAAAAACTTTTTTTGATTTGTTTAGAAAATATAGTCTAAAGTTTTTTAGACTGCTCAACCTACCCCAGTGGGGTAAGTTGAGCTATTGTGTGGGGTAAGTTGAGCAATATAAAAATGAACTCATTTCTGTGACAACTATTAACTCTGTTATAAAACCAAAACATAGCTTCGTTATAAATTAAATATTTTAAATTATTAAATAATTTGTTAAACTTGAAAGTATTTTCAAGTTTAACAAATTATTTAAGATATGAATATAAAAGCTAATAATTTTGAGACTAAAATAAAAACAAAACAAAACTTTTTTAATCTTGAAACTAAACACAACTTTTTAAACATATTTTTAAACAAAACTTGTTAATATTATGATAAAATAATAACTAAACATTTAATGTTAGTCTTCAATTTCCATTTTGCAGTTAATACAAATATAATTTTGACCAGAATGTGAATCACATTTTGAATAAGAACATTGATTGCAACCTTGACACTGGACCTAATTTTCTTCTAGTAGACTTTCAGAATAAGTTTTCCAACAACCAAGACAAGAATAATTGTGTTCTGCACTTGTCTTTAATTTTTTTGTCATCTTAGTTTTTTTGTTTGATTGTTTTTTAACTTTGTTTAATATACTAAGCAACAGAGTCTTCTTATTACCATGATCTGCAAAGGATTGAAAGGCAGAAATTTTTTTTGGTTTCTTTAAAATTTCTTTTTTTTCAGTTATTTTTTGCTTGTTTGTTTTTTAACTTTTTTTAAAATACTATGCAACTGAGTCTCTTTATCACCATACTCTTTATTTGAAAGGGATTGACAGGTAGATAATTTTTTTTGTTTTTCGCATTTTTTAAGTTTCTTAGTTTGTTGCTGTTTTTATATAATTCTTTCTGGAGTATCTGTTAGGATAGCAGCTTTACTTTTTATTCGTCTCATCAAATGTATCTTTCTTGGTGCTACTTTTAGGTAAGGTCGCACAGTTTCTGGAGAAAATGCTTTAGGAGTTTCAGGAGTAAGTAGCGTTGTCTCTTTATTAATACTATTTTTGACAGAGTGACCTTAAGATGTTAATCATATTTCATAATGAGCTCCGTGTGATAGCTCAGATACAAGATTTGCTGGTTCTGTGACAAATGATGGTAAAAAATCATCAGCAAAAATGTTTGCATTGTACTGGTATACACCAGTTTTTTGAAAATCCTTTGTAATAGTACACGTTTTAGCTAATGTCAATGAATCAGATACAATTATATAATAAATTTTTATGGCTTTTCCAGGATTATTTTTTAGCAATGCATCTTGTGCAACTAATAGGTACTTTTTAAAAGGTCCAAACATTAACACATCTAGTGGCTGCAGCTTATGACTACAGTGTTGTGGGAAAGACAACATGACTATTCCATTCTCCTTTGCTAAGTTTAGTGTTTTAAAATGCAAGTGAGAAGAGTGATTGTCCAAAATCAACAGAATTTTATATTCATTTGAAGGCTTCACATGCCAAATGAAATGTTGCATAAAATTTTTGAACTCAATATCTGTAACCCAGCCATTTCCATTACCTACTCGAATACAATCAGGTGGACCATTATTGACAATATAATCTTTGTAATTTTTGAGAGGAAACACAAACATTTAAGGCACTGTATTTCCTGAGGCAGATACAACGATTACCATTGTGACATTTGATCCTCTTTCCCCAGATATAGCACCAACACTTCTCTTGCCCTTTGCAGCCACAATTTTACTAGGTTATACAACTGTAGATACACCAGTTTTGTCAACGTTCCATATTTGTGAAGCACTGAATTTGTATATATCCATAACTTCACCTTGCTTATCAAAAAACACTTTTACATTTGTTTTATAGTTGCTTCAGGTTTCCTTATAGATAATTGAGGATTTCTTTTTAAAAAACTAGTCATCCACTCTTTATCAGCCATCTTATTTACTGTCCAAGAATCTGGTAATTTAATTTTGTATTGAAGAGCCCACTTATATGCAAGAGAACGAACATCTTTAGGGATATAGCTGTAAAATATAGATGCCATTTGCAATAAATAATTTTTTAAGGCGTTTTCTTGCTCTTGGGAAAAAATTAATATAAGTTTTGAATAACACATGGATGGGTAACCACCAGAGTTTAGTTTTAAAATATATCTTGTTAATGTCATTCTCTTGATGTCAAATTCTTCAGCAGCTGCACTTATACTTTTTTTTCCCTCCAAAACAAAACTTGTGAAAGCACCATTTGAAGTTTTTCTTTTATAATTACGCATCCTATAATATATAAAATATTTTCTAACTGTTTTATACTAATATTTAAAGTTTTCTATTTAAATATAGTAATATTATATATATATATATATATATATATATATATATATATATATATATATATATATATATATATATATATATATATATATATATATATATATATATATATATATATATATATATATATATATATATATATATATATATATATATTATGCAGCGCCGGCTTTTAGGGGGCGAGGTCGTGCGTTGCACGAGGGCGGCAAGTAAATAGGAGCGGAGAATTTTATTAGTCACAAGTTTTAATTTTCCAGTAGTATATTAAAAATTTAAATTAAATTAAAAGATTTAACGACCTTTGCAAAAAAAAAACACGATTTTAAATTTGAAGACAAAAAATTACTACATTTACTTAATTAACGCACGATTTTCTATTGTAATTTGTAGTATCATTTGTGCGTTATTTCCCCTAGGAGTCATTTCGAAAAGTTGCAAAAAATTTTTTATAAAGAAGTTCAAAAGTTTTTATTTTTTGTTATTAAATGTTAAGTTGACTCGATTTAAACAATTTTAAAAAAGTAACTAAACTTACTTTCAGTAAGTTTAGTTACTTTTTTATTTATTTCTTTAATAATTTTATGAATGTGTTTTGAGAACTTTGTTAAATTTTTTTTCTTTTTAATTGTAGAAATAATTTTATCTTAAAAAATATTCTGTCTCATGTCACATAAAATTTCAAATTCGAGAAAAAAGTTGTCTGTTTATGAGTACAGAAAAAGAAAGTCCGTTAAAGATCAAAAATTTGAAAAAATTAAAAAATTCATGAGCATTGAAAAATATGTTGCTTATAAAAAACCTGACAAAGGTCGTTAAGATTTTAACCCTGATGCTTCAACTATTTCTATGACTATGTCCAATAAAATTGGAGAACCTTCAACAATACTCAAAAATAGTTGTATAACTTCATTGCAAATTGAAGTAGATAATGAACCAGTTATTTTAAAAGAATCGAATGATTTATCGGAAGATTTTTTACAAGAAACACCTAATTTATTGGATTGTGGAAATTGGCCAATTGTTCGATCTAGCAACTTTGTGGACCATTTAATCAAACTTGGTCCTTTTCAAATTACAAAGGAAAAATACCCCGAAAATAGAAATGGTCAACATTTTTCTAGCATTTATTACAATAGAAAGCTTGCGAATGGAGAAACCTTTTGCCGTAGATGGTTGGTTTATTCAGATTCTAAAAACTCCGTACTTTGTTTTTGCTGTCTACTTTTTGATAATAATTCAAAGTCAAACTTAGTCTCTGATGGTTTCAAGAAATGGAGACATTTAACTGAAACATTGGGAATTCATAAAAACAGCGTCTCTCATATGAAATGTTATCAACAGTGGGTAGAAACTGAAATAAGATTAAAAACTGGAAAAACTCTAAATAATAAAGAAATTAAAATTATAGAAAAAGACAGTTTGCGATGGCAAAATGTTCTTCTTTGGCTGATGAATATCACTCTTTACCTAGCTAAAAATAATATGGCTTTTCGAGGGAGTTCGGATAAACTGTTTACGCCTCAAAACGGCAAACTCTTAGGACTAATACAGATGCTTGCAAAATTCGATCCTGTGATGCAAAAGCATTTAGCACTTGCAATAAAAGGTGACACTTCAGACCATTATTGCGGGAAAAATATTCAAAATGAGTTAATAGATTTAATGTCTCAAAAGGTTAATGATGAAATAATAAACCGAGTCTTGAAAGCCGTTTACTATTCAATCATTGCTGATTGTACACCTGATATTTCTAGAAAAGAACAACTTTCTCTTACTATTCGAATTGTGGACTTGTCATTAGACATTAGAGTGGAAATTAAAGAGTACTTTTTAGGATTCTTTTCTGTTTCTGATTCTACAGGCTTAGGACTTATTGAGGTTTTAATCGAGTTGCTAACTAAGCATGGACTTGAAATCTCTAACTGCAGAGGTCAAGGGTATGATAATGGATCAAATATGAAAAGAAAGATTAATGGTGTACAAAAAAGGATTTTAAATCTTAATCCTTTAGCATTGTATGTTCCTTACGGCAACCATAGCTTAAATTTGGTAATAAGTGACTCTGCACGGTCTTCAGTAAAACCTATAGCTTTTTTCGGTATTCTTCAGAGATTGTTTACTCTATTCTCAGCTTCAGTGAGCCGATGGAAAATTTTAATTGATCATGTTAAAATTTTGCATTTAAAGAAACTCTGTGACACGCGGTGGGAAGCAAAAATAAGTAGTGTTAAAGCCGTTTGTTATCAAGTTGGTGATGTACATGACGCTTTGATAGCATTGTCAGAAATTGAAGGATGTAATCCTGAAACTGCACATGAAGCGATAACTCTAGGAGAGCAATTAAAAGATTTTAGCTTTCTTGTCTCTTTAATTGTCTGGTATGACGCTCTTTTTCAAGTCAATATTGTTAGTAAAACTCTTCAAGAAAAAGACATGGACATCACTCAATGTGCAAAGTTATTGAAAAGCTGTTGTTCATTTTTAGAAAACTATAGAAAATGTGGTTTTAAAGATGCAATTATAAAAGCAAAGGATTTGGCTATAGAATTACAAGTGGAGCCTGTTTTTAAACCACTTAAAAGAATAATACGAGTGAAACGCCATTCTGACGAACCAGCCCAAGATGGGATTTATTTATTTTCTCCTGAAAAAAAATTAGAAGTCGATTTCTTCAATCCTCTTTTAGACACATTTTTAATTTCAATAAGAGAAAGATTTATACAGTTGGAGAATTATTCCGAAGTTTGGGGTTTTTTGTATAATCTCGATAGTTTGCAAAAAAGAGAAGAAATTCTAAAATCATGTTTAGCTCTTCAAAGTAAACTTACCGTAAATCTAAAATCGGACATTAATGGTATTCTCCTTTGCAATGAACTGATGAGCATTAAACCTTTTCTTTCTGAAATGGTCAAGGATAAAATTACTCCTATTATTGTTTTAAACTTTATAAAACAGCACAAAATGCAAGATTTGTATCCAAACACATGGATTGCAATGCGAATTTTGCTAACAATACCTGTCACTGTAGCGAGTGGAGAAAGAAGCTTTTCCAAAATGAAACTAATAAAAACCTATCTGCGGTCAACAATGTCGCAGGATAGACTTTCAAGTTTAGGAACCCTATCGATTGAAAAGAATATTGCTGAATTGATTTTTCAACCCTAATCAAAGATTTTGGTAATAAGAAGGCTCTAAGATTAATTTAAAAAATTAAATGTATTTTGTGTAAAACATAAACAAAAAATGTTTCGTTGTATGTAGCGTTTTATTGCAAAGTATTATTTTTGAATTCGATTTGTTAATATTTTCCATGTAATTTACCAACACGTTTATAAAATTTTCAGGGGCGGCAGGACAAATTTCGCACGAGGGCGGCAAAAAGGCTAAGGCTGGCACTGATATTATGTGTGTGTTAGTATTTGTGTATACACAAAAAACATTCACTAACTGTTATATACCAATATTTAAAGTTTTCTATTTAAATATAGTAACATTAAATTGAACTTGCTGCATCACTAAGCTGTTGGCTTGTGAAAGCACTATTTGACGTTTTTCATTATAATTTCGCATCCTATAATATATAAAATATTTTCCAACTGTTTTATACTAATTTAAAGTTTTCTATTTAAATATAGTAATATTAAATGATATATACATAAACTATTTATATATAATATAGTATAATTATTTATATATAGTATGAATAATTAAAATATAAATGAATTATCATACTTTATATTATATATACTTTAAATTGGTTATGTTTTTTAAATATGCACACTATCATAATATTATTATTAGGTACGTGAGTAAAAATTTTAAATTTGTAAATACTTTAATATTATGTATCATTAGAAAGAAAATTATTACAGTATTTTAAAGGTGAAAAAATTATCAAAATCGAACAATTGGTTCAAAAGTTATGACGGTTTAAGTACCGATTTTTCTATATATGGATTTGTTGAAGAAACTGTGGTCAAAATTGTCATAACTTTGTTAATTCTTATCAAAATACAAATATCTTGGTATCAAAAGATTGGTGTAAGAGTGGGCTACAACTTTATGTTAAACTCTAACCACCCGGCGTATTGGATGGATAGAGGGGCACCAAACCACCACCTTGCCCTATGAAACTGAACACTTTTTTCAGGAAAAAAGTTTTTTTTAAAGACATAAGCGATATAAATATGCATAAAAGTTGTTTTAAATTTATACTTAACCACCAAAATATATGAGAAGTGTATGTTAGAGGTGGGTGTGGTGGTAATGGTTTGATACACCCTAGTACCAAAAACGACTTGATTTTATAAATATTTATATCTTTACTAAAATGAGTAAAATTAGAATACAATATAAAATTATGTTATACAAGACCTTACATATACAAGTGGTGTTTCTATTATGGGAGGGGCATATCTGGGTCCGGTGGGGCATATATGCCCCCTCCCCCACCGGACCTAAACAAAAAATGCAATTACTGTGTTCAAAATTTGAATAATAAATAAAAAAAAAATTACGAAATTGGAAATAAATTAATTTGATTAAATATTTAAAGTACAACAAAGAAGTAAAAAACACATTTCACTAGATTAAAAGATACATTAGTGGTGCATCCATGGTCATAAAAAATAACAATTAATAATTATTTCAAAGATAATATAATATATTAAAGATAATTTAATCTATTTTTGTCTTGGCTTTTATTGAATCCTTAAAATGATTAATTCCAGTAATGAAACTATATTTTAATCATTTTAAACAATAGACACCACGTGAAGGTAGGCCAGAGCCGTCTATCAAAAAATTTAACAAGTCACAACACTTGCTGAATTATTTATGCAAGTCACAAAACTTGCTGTATAATTTAAGCAAGTCACAACACTTGCAATACATTTTTAGCAAGTCACAACACTTGCTGTATTATTTAGGCAAGTCACAACACTTGCTATATAGTTTATGTAAGTCACAACACTTACTCTATTATTTATGTAAGTCACAACACTTGCAATACATTTTTGGCAAGTCACAACAATTGCTGTGTTATTAAATTAATTAAATTGTAACTCACCGGAAACAACATCTGCAGCAAGCTAGTTTTTTTTCATGCAATAGTCAACAGCTTTAATATCAGTTTTATCATCTTTCCAGTACGAAATGGTGTAAATGAGGTCATTTTTTCTTTTATTAACTTTTTCTACTCTGCCTCTATATAAAACACTTTTGCATGTTTTTGAATCATACCATTCATGTTCAAGTTTCTTCCCAACAATTCTATCTGACATGACATCAAGTTTATTATTAGAATAATATTCTTATAATAAACTTAGTAAACAAGATTAATTTAAAAAATTTATTCAAGAACTTTTCAAATTAAAGATTTTATTGATCTAGTAATATTGAAGTAAAAATATTTTAAAAGTATTAAAAAGTCATATAATTTTAAACCATAAAAACATATTTAAAAAAAAAAACGTTTAAGATATTACCTTATAATGAGTATTTTATAATGATTAATTTAAAAGTGTGAATGGACCTTAAAATGTTTACCAAACGAAATTTTATCTTCGCGTCTGATATAGCCGTTTTATTAATCGTTGTCAAATCTGCTCAACTTACCCCTACTCAACAAGGCGACACATCAGTTAGATAATAAAAAGAACTATAAGGATTGGGAAAAAAAGGATAAGTACAATCATTAGCCAAATAAATAGCTTAATAAACGCTTAAGTGATTCCAGGTAAATAATTTTTTTAAGCATCTAAGAGAAAAGTAGCAAAAATATTTTTTTCTACTTTTTTGGTCCAAAATCAAAAAAGTGTTCGTGCATGTTACAGAACAACCATTTGATGCGCATTTTATTACCATTCTAAATACCTATCTTTTATCCATTAGATGTTTTGCCATGTGATGAGTAGTTTTTGAGATATTTTAGTTGCCCAACTTGCCCCTATGCTCAACTAGCCCCGCTCTACCCTACTCTTTTTTAGTTTTTTATATCTACTTTGGTATTTTTTCATCGAACTTTTTATTTTTATACTATTGACATAAATTACACAAATCTTCTCTTGTTTATAAAATGTTATAACATAATAAACATCCTTTTTTTTGGTAAACTCTGGGTAAGCTTGTATAAACAACCTGTACATTTTATTTGCACTCATGATAACTCTAAATATTTTTCCTTATTATGAGGAGAAAACAAGGCCACTCTCGGCGGCCCTAGGAGAAAGATTAGTAGAAATGAAAGTTGAGTGATTGGAGTCACCCAACTCATAACCAGCAGTTTATTCTTCTGTTAAAGATTAATACTGCTATCGGAATATTGGTATCAGCAACAATTAAATGCAAATAACCTTCTCTGTGACTTATCTTTAATTTGAAGTTTAAAAAATTGTATAATTACACAGTGAAGTTCTTCTGATTACAAATAATAATTTTTTTACTTTTTACTAAACATCACTATAAAGAATTCAACTTAACCATAAATTTTCAATGTAGAGTTTTTCGTTATTTTATGACAAAATAAACTATTTTAA